GAGAAAAGACTGCCTGAGCATGGCCCGAACAAAGAGAGGGAATGGAGGGCCTTACATAGAGAGACATGGCCTGCACGCCCGCCATGGTGCTCCTCCGTCACACCCGCAGCCTGCAGAAACCAACCGCACGGATCAAATCAAAAAATCCAAAAGAAGAAGATGAGGTGAGGGAAGGAGGATGGAGGGCGTCAGTACCTTTGATGTCTACGTGCTGCAACTCGTCGCCGGCGTCGATGGCAACCACATCAGCAAGCACCGAGAGAAGGCCGTTGTTGCCGTCGTCGTCGCCCCATCCCATCCATCCATGGGTGGGTGTTGGCCTAGGGTTTCATCCCCATCCATCCATTGGTCGGGCCAAACCTCCATGGCCGACCTCGAGCAGACTAAAAAGCAAGTAGGTGGTGAATCCAAATTCAAGAATGGTGTATTATAGTGGTAGATTGGTATACACAGAACACGACACTGCAATGATAAGTAGTAATTCTGTAGTTTTGATGCATAAAAAGAATTGAACAATCCGGTGATCCAAGTATATAGGCAGAGGTTCTATACATAACTTAGGAAATATAGCATAGTAACATATAGTGTATTTTTTCAGTCACACAGGTAACTGAAAATACAGGAGTAGGCAGATCTAATGAATAGCGTGCTATACAAAATAGCGTGGCCTCTAAAAATATGCTATTAGCGAGAGATTGTACATTGATCAATTTAACTAGACAATTTTCTACATGCTATAGCACGCAAGTAAATTATGTCCAGGTACCATCTCGGCAAGCTCATTACCAAAACCAATATTTCTGAAGCACTGAAACTTGGAACTGAAGCTGATTACTGAATCAAATATCCTGGAGTTGGACCTGAAGCACTTTTGAAATGTGAGGATTGCTTAGTGTTTTTGTCAACCAAGGACAAAGGAAGAGGTCAGGGGGGACCTGGATCCCGCTGCCAGTGGAGTCTACAGGGGTGGCACTATACAACTCCGAACAGGAAGCCGAGAACAGGCGAACTCCCGCTGCATTCCTGAGCATCCGACAACAACCTTGCACTCCCTGCTAATCTTTGCCACAGGTGGTGACCTGCAACAGTTAAGTTCAACTTTTTATACTACCATGCCTCAAAGAAGAGAAAACTGAATCAAAGCAGCACATCGGCCTAAGGCATCAGCAAGAACAAAAGTAATAACACATTAAAAAGTAAAAATAATTCTTAGAGAGAGCACAATTTCTATCTATAGAGAGAAAGGAAAAGAAGTGGGTAGACACTTGCATCTTCTGGCCAGCGGGGAAGAAGACCAACTCTACCACAACCTCATGGCAGAGCCGTGTGTCGTGGGGATCCCATGGAGGTGCACACAGAGTACGGCGTACCGGCAACCTCCACCGCGTGACGTTGCTGCCCCCATCCTCTACGCCCCCCCCCCCTCCCCCACCCCTTTGCTGTGGTGGGCGGCGCAGCTCCGGCCGGCCGGCGTGGATGGGCTGCTGGGTGGGCCGAGTCCGCTCGGGAACGGACAGAGATGGGCGGAGCAGCTCCGGGCGACGGCGAAGAGGACTATCGATGGGCACCGGAGTGGAGGTGGCTCCGGCCGGCTGTGCGCGCGGCGGCGGCTAGGAACCCTAGCATCACGGTGGAGAGCGGGCTGCGAGGAAAAGAGGATGCGTTTTCGCCGATGCCATCGCTACTTTTTACAGGCGAGGTGCGGTACAGTAAAAGGAGACGTGGCTAGCGCGGTTACTCGACCTTGATGCGCACCTGAATGGTTTTAATTGACGCGTTCAGGATCCACCAGGTTCCTCGAAACTAGTCGTTAGACGACCTCGTGATCAGTGATTATCCCCGGTGATCCCAGGACACGGTGCCGCAGCGAGACGGGATCAAACCTGGCACGGCGCCGCCCCGCGAAGGCATCCCACCTGTCTCGCTGACAGACTGGTCTCTCTCACGCGTCGATGCCGTTGGCGACAGTGATACACGGGCCAACGGCAGCCCGAGACCCGAACGTTACAGCTGTTGCCCACCTCAACCGACGTTTAGGATCGTCAGTCTCCCGCTATAAAATCGCGCCTCCTCCATCGTTCCCAATTCACAGCTCGCAGCTCACCATCTTCTCTCCTCTCCCAAGCATTCGCTCGCCGTCCTCTCCTCTCTGAATCTTCTCGGGCAAGTCTTTCACCGTCGACAACAACCAGATGGCTCGCTTCGCCGTGGTCGCCGCCATCCTCGCCCTCCTCGCAGTCGCCGCCGCCGCGCAGGGCCCCATGCCGGCGCCCCGGATGGCCCCGCTTCCGGCGCCACCGGCGAGGTCCCCGGTCGCCACCCCTCCAACCGCCGCGTCGCCGTCCCCGATGGCATCTCCCCCTGCCCCGACGACCGACGCGCCGACCGACGCTCCCTCCGCGATGACGCCGTCCGCGGTCTCCGCCACACCCTCCGGCGCCCCCATCGGCGCCCCGAACGGCACCCCCGCGAGCTCCGCCGTGTACTCATCCGCCGCCAGCTTCGTCGCGGTCGCCGGAGCGGTGGCCGCCGCCATCGTGTTCTAGATGCAGCGACGACTCTCCTTGCTGTTGTCTATACAGTTTCATCGTTTCTGAGATTCTTTGCTACAAGTATTATAGATCGAGGAAAGGTTACACGACATTGCGATGTAATCTTGTTGTGAGATTATTATGAATATAAAATTCGTTCATTTGTTAACTTATATATTCTCATCCCGTGGATGTGCCCGGCCCTTTTCAGCTTAAGTTTCTGACACACTACGGGCTATAAATTCAGTTTCATTATAATTCTTACAAACTACTCTGTTCTCTGACTTGTACTCTTGGAGTGGGGAAAACCAGCATCAACGACTATAGAACAGAGGAAACTAGCCGTTAGTACATGATCCAAACCTCACATTTGGCTATCATGTGAAAAGTTTTTTTTTTGTGTATGTCAAAGAACCACAAGATGGTACTCCACCTAGGACGATAAAAGAAATGCCGAAGAGCTCATCTACAGAGTGAGGGGTGAAAATACCTCAGTTTGTTACTCGTGCCACTAACAATTTATAACGATGATTGTCTCGCTTATCTTTTTTTTTTTTTTGCGAAATGGTTGTCTCGCTTATCACATGAATAGATCGTGTTACAAAATTCTAAAGCCTACACCCAGTTTAAATTTAGCCGTGCTCAATCTACATTGAATATTCGCCGCTTCTCCAACATCTTAGTTGTCCCCTCACCTTTAAGCAAAAAGTCACCCAAAATGACAACAGCCACATTAAAACCTCAAATATGCTCTAAAATCTCAAAATGATCTTCTACTTCGGCGGAGAATTAACAGATTCCCAATTCCATAAAAAAGAAGGGGAGTTTCCTCAGGAAACGGTTTGTCATGCAAAGAATCTAACATATGTGAAATGTTAAATTATGTGAAAAATGGTACAAACAATGACCTCAGGAAACGGTTTGTCATGCGAAGTCATTTCACAGATCTAGTGTCATTTTCCAGACCGAAGAATAAACTTGTTGCTCTCTTCCCTGCTCATTATCGACATGTAATACACGAAAGTGGGACAAAGACCGCCACAAAAGTGTTGCTCCTCAATATAAGCTGGCACATGTGTGGGGTTCCTTCAAGAAGAACAAGTCATGTGAGAGTGATGTGTTATGCTTGCGTTGATAGAGAAGAAAAATGACCTGGTATTTCATACTTGTTGAGATGATTTGCAAGAAAAACTAGTGCATCTTGTACCGTCCTGCTAATTAAGTGCACACCCACTAGTGAAGTTTCAGCTAAATGGTTTTGTACATTTTGCATGTTCAATGCATATCATATTTTGTACCCCATTTCATCTCTTTTTATGTCGAGTAAATTTCCGTAAATGGGGTAAAAACCGGTAAAGCATCCACTAAATGGAGTAATCCGGATGAACAACTATAAAATTGTGTCATCTGCGTAAAAAATGTCAAAGTAGGGATAAAAACTAGAATTCACCTCTCTCTTATCTCTACTGCATTGCTCTTTCTCCATTGTGCTGTAGTGCATCTTTTGTACGGGCACTTTATCATATCTTCTGTACCGGATGCTTGTAGCTATACCAATTAAGAACTCACAAAACTATCATTCATGAATGGTGAGCTATCTCAAAACAAATAACACGTAGAACTTCTCGTCGCTACTTATATGCATGGTGCAAACCCTGGTGAGTGATCTACTTCATCTGTTTCTAAATATAAGTTTTTTTAGACATTTCAACACAGACTACATACGAATGTATATTGCACATAAGTATTTTAGAGTGTATAGATTTACTCATTTTGCTTCATATGTGTCCGTATTGAAATCTCTAAAATGGCTTATATTTAGAAACATACGGAGCAGTGATGAAGCGGTCGTGGAGCAACCATCGCCTCATTTTCCCTCCGCGATTTGGCTTACTCTTTCTAGTACCAAGTCAAAACTCGGCACAATTTTCACCGCAAAAAAAATTAAAATTCTGCACAATTTTCTACCACTGGCCTACCGACTACGGACTACCAAACCTACGTGATGCAGCAGCCGACTCGAAGTCTCAACAGAAAAATCGTAGATCCAATCTCGATGTTCGACGCAACGTGTCTGGAAACTAGTCGTTGGACCTTCCCCTGGCTTAAAGATCCAATCTTGACGTTGGACGCGGCAGCTGCCCACGACGCGGTGCCGCGGCGTGAAGGGATCAACTTTGCGCGGCGCCGTCCCCGCGCGCCAACATATCTCCACCTGTAACGCTGACAGCCTGCTCTCACGCGTCGTCGCTGCCCATGACCACAGCCGGAGACTCGAACGTTACAGCTCTTGCCTACCTTCACCGACATTTAGAATCGCCTAAGCATCTCTCTATAAATAGCAGCCTCCTCCTCCCATCCCAATTCACAACTCGCAGCTCAAGCACAGCTTCTACAATCTACACAGAGCCTAAGCATCCGCGCTCTATCATCTCATCACCTCTCCAAATCGCCATCAACAGCTACCAGATGGCTCGCTTCGCCGTGGTCGCCGCCATCATCGCCCTCCTCGCCGTCTCCACCGCCGCGCAGGGCCCCATGCCGGCACCCAGGATGGCCCCTCTCCCCGCACCTCCGGCGAGGTCCCCGGCCACCGCCCCTGCGCCGGTCGCCACCCCGCCCACCGCCGCGTCACCGTCCCCGATGGCCTCTCCCCCTGCCCCGCCCACCGACGCGCCGACGGATGCTCCCTCCGCGATGACGCCGCCCGCGGTCTCCGCCACACCCTCCGGCGCGCCCATCGGCGCCCCCACCGGCACCCCCGCGAGCTCTGCCGTGTACTCGTCCGCCGCTAGCTTCGTCGCAGTCGCCGGAGCGGTTGCCGCCGCCATCGTCTTTTAGATGCAGCGACGACTCTGCTACTCTGCTCGGTGTTGTCTACACAGGTTCATTGTTTCTAAGATTCTTTATTATAGACGGAGGAAAGGTTACACGACATTGCGATGTAATCTTGTTATACGAGATTAATATGAATATAAAATTCTTTCATTTGATACTTGAAATTACCCTGTAGTGGATATGTATTTTCCTTTCCAGCTTAGTTTCTGATATACTACGGGCTACAAATTCAGTTTCAGTATAATTCTTACCAGCCGCTTTGCTCTAGTATGTCTAGTATGTTGCTCAAACGCCATTTTAGCATGTTCTTCTCAGGGTAGTTCTCTGATTTGTACAAGTGTAAGATTGGGGAAAATCAGCATCAAGGACTGTTGAACACAGGAAACTGGCCGTTTTTAGATGATTCGGAACTCAAATTTGTCTATCATGTGAAAAGTATTTTCAACGTAAAAATGGTAAAAGAAATACCGAAGAGCTCAACTACAGAATGAGGGGTGAAAGTACTTTGGTTTCTTACTCGTGCCACTAACTTTCTGTAACGATGATCGTCCCGCATATCTGATGAGAAGATCCGGTTACAAAATTCCAAAGCTTATATCCCAATTTATAATTATTTATTTTTTGGAAAAGGAGGTTAAGATCCTCGGCTTCTACATCAATCGATGCCTACGGTCATCTTTATTTATTTATTTATTATTCAACATAGGTCTAACAAAAATATACATCAAGTCACCCGAAGCCATCACTCACACCTACGAAACTCGATAATGTGGAGTGCTCTCACTCCTCATATCTAAAACTGGTGTCGTCGCTGATCCATCCACATAACGTATCGGAACCCACAACCGGTGCAGCAGACCTAAAGCGTACACTACATGCACACATTTTAGACGCCGTCATCATCATCGAACCGCTGACCCATTTTCAGGAGAGAGATTTGTATCATCCTTGCCAGTACGTCCATCCGTCGACGCCACCAGGGTGCCCAACGGCGCCATCGCCCCGCGCTCGTTTGTCCAGACGCGAAGATTCTGGAAGATCAGTCATGCGTAGCACCTGCCGACCAGGCCTGATAGAACGTAGCACCTGTCGGTCAAGCATGACTTGACATCTCCATCGAAAGCTTTGTGCATGACGAATCCGCTCCACCTCCTGCCTCTGCCTTCCAGCTCTGCCCCACAAACGATGCTCCCAAAAGAGAAAACAATACCGCAGTACCACCATCGTTCGATCTGAAAGACCAGATCCTAGGATTTCCCCCGGAGCAACACGAGTGGGTCGACAGTAGTTACACAACGATGCCTTCATCAAGGTAACGACGCAGAATGCCGCCATCGCCTGCCATCGGCTCAGTTTTCACCGGCAACTATGTCTTCCCGGGTCGCAACCGGAACTAGATGGCGGATCTCGAGATCTGACCATCCAGCCTCATGCCGACCACCTCCGATGGAGGAGATAGCCACCACCGCCAACGGCACCGGCCAGATCAGATATGACCGGAGGCGTCGCCGACCAGTCAACCATGGCCACATCTCCTCCTGGTCCGCCCTCCCCAAGAAGCCGCCGGAGCAGCGTCGAACCGCCAGGAAAGACGAAGACCGAAGGGCGATTTCGCGCCGCCGGTCCCTCCAGACCGCGGGGCTGCAGCCTAGATCCCCGCTGTCCCCATCACCGGCGGCGCTCGGGCTTAGCCGGCGCACGTCTCTGGGGACGGCGAGGTGGAGGAGAGGGAGGGGGGGCGCGGGCCGGGGCACTGGGTTTGGCCCCCTGATTGCCTTGGAGGGAGCGATCGAGGGAGCCCTGAAGCGATACGAGAGGGAGGGAGCGATCCTTAGGTTGTTTTAGTTTGCTCGTGTCCTCCCAATTTATAATTAATCGTGCGCAATCTATGTTCTATATATTTTCGCCTCTCCAGCATCTTAGTTTGAAGTGACAACAGTCATATTAAAACCTCAAATATGCTGTGAAGAAGAAGAAGAAGAGGCAGCCACACAAGAAAAGAAGAAGCAGCAGCATCACAACAACAACATCGGAAGAAGAAAAAGAAGAAGAGGATGAGGAGGAAGAAGAGGAAAATGATGGACTTCTACCTAGTTAGCATCGTTGAACTTTTCCCTTTTCAGCCGTATTTCTCTTAATAACTTGTACTGCCATTTGCTAGTAGCTAGGAAAAACTGCTGTTTGTTTTCTAGTTAGGACAATATGATGTTCAGTGTGTATGGTATGGTCATCACTAGTGAAAAGTGATGATCACATTTTATGTCGTTTGCTACCAAACAACATGTTATTTGTATAACAGCAGCGACGCAGGCAACCAAATAGCAAGGTAGAAATTGCTTTCCTCATGCACGGAGCCTAATGCAGTCAACCAAACTACACGCAGTTGCTCCTTTTTAGCCTACATTTAGTTTAAACAGGCCCAACTAAGATAAATACGCGAAATGCCTAAAACGGAGTGGTGAACCAAACGCACCCCTAGTGGCGAAACGGTTGTGGAGCACCATCGCCTCGTTTCCCCGCTGCAATTTGGCTTACAAGGCAAAATCCTGCACAATATTCTACTGGCCTACCGACTACGGACTACCAAACGTACGCGATGCAGCATAACGGAAAAATGGTACTGTAGATCCGATCTTGACGTCCGACGCAAGTACGCAACGTGTCTCGAAACTAGTCTAGGCGTTAGACCTCGCCAGATTACTATTCCTAGACCCAATCTTGACGTGTCACCATTCATGCTCCCGCGTACGTGACTTGATTTGATTGAAACAAAATAAAACGCGGTTCCACCCTCTTAAAATCAGAGGGAGAGATGATTAGATTAAAAAGAAAAAAAAACAACCATAAGATGAAATGAAAGCACGGATTGGAACATGGGGAAAGAGGCAAGCCGAATCCGCTGCCCATGACGCGGTGCCGCTGCGCGAAGGGATCGACTTTGCAGTGCACGGCGCCGTCCCGCGCGAGAAGATCTCCACCTGTACGCGGATAGCCTGGACTAACGCGTCGTTGATGACTCGCTGCCCATGACGACAGCCTGAGACTTGAACGTTCCAGCTCCCGGCTGCCTCCGGCTACGATAAATACCAGCCTCCTCCCTCCATCCCAATCCACAACTCGCTGCTCAAGCACAGCTTCCAGCCTCCTACACACAGAGCTAAGCGTCTGCTTGCTATCATCTCACCTCGTCTCCTCTCCGAATCACCATCGGCAGCTACCAGATGGCTCGCCTCGCCGTGGTCGCCGCCATCATGGCCCTCCTCGCCGTCGCCACCGCCGCGCAGGGCCCCATGCCGGCGCCCAGGATGGCCCCGCTACCGGCGCCTCCGGCGAGGTCGCCGACCACCGCCCCTGCGCCGGTCGCCACCCCGCCCACCGCCGCGTCGCCGTCCCCGATGGCCTCTACCCCGGCCCCTACCACCGACGCTCCCTCTGCGATGACGCCCTCCGCGGTCTCCGCCACGCCCTCCGGCGCCCCCACCGGCACTCCCGCGAGCTCTGCCGTGTACTCGTCCGCCGCCAGCTTCGTCGCAGTCGCCGGAGCGGTCGCCGTAGCGGTCATGTTCTAGATGGAGGGACGACGACTCTGCTTCGTCTTGTCTATACAATTTATATTGTTTCCGCGGATTCTTTATTAGAGACCGATGAAGATTATACGACATTGCGATGTAATCTTGTTACACATGCATGAGATTATTTATGAATATACAATTCTTTCGTTTGTTTCCTTATATTCTTCTCCCGTGGTTTTTGTATGTGCCTGTTTCTCTCAGCTTATCTTCGGATGTGCATTACTCAATTTTACTGGTAGGAGCAGGGAACATCTGCATCGACGGCTGTAGAACACAGAGGAGACTCGCCTTTCTTAAATTAGTACTGCCACCATTGCCCTCCTTCGTTGGAACCACACTCTTCCCCCATCCCTGTTGACGAAAAACGCACACCCCATCGCCCCCCTTCGCCAGCCGCCGTCCTCTCTTCCCCTGTTACCATGTCGGTTTGGCTGTGCCCTCCTTGCGGACCTTTGCCTGACGAGACCAAAGAGGACCGCATCGAGAGAGAGTGGGTTAATGATGAAGTCCGCATTAAGACTTAATGGACGTTGTTTGCGGCCACCTTCCCACCGCTTTTGTGTACTTTGATCACATTTTGATAGCCACCACCGCAGAAATGGCAGGCACGCTCATGCCGGCTTTCTAGACTGTGGACTTGTGCCGCCTACATGACACATAGGTGTTGGTGGACCGCGTGGCTGCGGATGTCGTGGCAGCCAAAGCCTTCCCCGACTGCGAGATCACTCCGAAGAGGATGAAGAACTCGTAGTTTAGCAGAGAATCGTTTTAGTCCTTCTTGAAATCCATTTTGTAAATGCATATAGAATTCCTAGTTGAGATCGATGTTTAATCCATTATTGAAAAACTTGCAAGGTGAGGAATGAAATTGAACTGAAGTCTAAATCTAGCGTGTTATGAATTTTGGATTTTTGGGAACAACAGTTGCAATCGATGACAAGTAAGCGGGATGCACATCTAAAATTTATGAAGGTTGCCGTTTTGGCGATTCTGTGTTTATGCACAGCCGCCGCCGTGTCCTTCATATCTAGATGGAGCACTGTATATCCTACATGACGACCGCACATGCGAAAAATTTGCTAGAGTTGCTCTTAGATGTGTGTTGAGGAAGACTAGCTAGCAAACATGCGCTAGCTAACCGCGTCCAAATTTTTTGTGGGTCAAATGTACAAGCGCATCACACAGGGGCGGCGCCAGGAGTCTTCTTAGGTATTCGGTTGAATACCCAAGATTTTGACAAACCATTAAAATTTTATATAAAACAAGCGATTTTTTTTTTGCAAAACAGTGATGATTTGGGCAAAATGAATACCCTTCTCCAAAATGAATACTCACCCTCTAGAACCTGGCGCCACCACTGGCATCACACCCTAGAGAAACCAAGGGAAATTCCAGTGCCAAATATGATCATAATTTATGATACGCTTCATAAAAATAACCGACAAAAAGGTGAATACAAAAAAGTTCAGAGAAATAAGAAGTGAACACGAAAGTTCGCTAGTAGCTTGCAAAATCACACGATGATGCAATGGCCGTCAGGCTCCTCCTCGTAGCACACGATGGCCGCGCCAGGGTACGGCGGCATCGGCCGGGGACAGCACGCATTGCCGGGGCCGGAGCAGCAGCAGGGCGGCGCCGGCTTGGGTGTTTCAGACTTCTTTGGTTCGTCGGGCTTCTTGGCCGGCTCGGGCTTCTTCTCCTCCACCTCAGGCCCGACGCTGACGACGACCGCCGTGAACTTGGCCTTCCGCAGCGCGCTCGCAATGCACACCACGTCGACGTCCCCCACCACGGTCAGCGTCCCCTTCTCGCCGTCCACCGCCATCGACTTGATACCTGCATTACAACCGATGGTCGAGCACGAACTTGCAAATAAATACACGGTCCTTGGCTTCTGCAAGCTTATGCGTACCTGGGAGCTTGGCGACGACGCTCATGGCGCCGGCCTTGCACCGCTCGGCGGTGATGTCCACCTTGAGCACGATCTTCTGTAAAAGAGACCAGATGAACAAATGCAGAGTTAAATCATACAGTAGTTAGCAACGAAAATGGTTTCGATAGTGGGGCTGGGGAATCGGCTCTTACCTTGGACATGGTGATTGGTGATGAACTGATGAATGATCCGGAGGAAGAGAAAGGTGGAGGCTTTGCTGTTCTTTAGTTGAGCTCCACAATTGTGACTTGTGACAGCTCGTCACACCAGCATTATGAGTAGACATGGCAACCTGTAACTCGTGTCTCCTCTGGTTGAGCATGTAATGATTGTGCGGAAGTCAACACCGTAACGAACTCGTGGCGTTCGGTGCACAACAGAAAGCACGTTTTCCATTTCGTCATGCCGTCGCAGGCTAATTCGTTCAAGTAAAACCTTGTGTTTCTCATAATTGCCATTGTTCACGCAGGGAAAACTGCTACTGTCGGACAATCAGACATACAGTAAATTTAGATAATTGCCAAAATAAGCACTCTCATCGCAAAGTCGGAAAGTTTTTGTTTTTGTAAAATCTTCGGAGTAGAAAATTCCAGTCTGTTTTTTTAACACAGTACAATTGAAGGCCTTTACATACACGTACAAACACTCGTCGCTATATACCCACGTACACCTTACTCCTATGAGCATCTTCGAAAGACTGGCCCAACACAACATTTCGAGATTGACAAAGTCATCACCGGCACTTCGTAGTCGACGAGAACGTCTCCTTCCATTAAGACTACACACAGTGGGAGTAACATAGGTAGTAACACCACACATATCTAGGTTAAATAAATGATGTGACATGCAATGAATGAAGAAAGAGATGAAAATGATAACATAGCTAGTTACTACTAGTATAAGTAACATCACACATATTAAGGCAATATGTGCCTATAGCCTAATAAATGAAGTGCTCCATGTTACCACACATATGTTACTCCCTACTATAGAGATAGTAACATAGACTAGTAACATGTGCCCATGTTACTAGTCTATGTTCCTACCCATTGTGGATAGTCTAAACGAATATTGGCGAAAAGACTGAACTAAATCTAGGAAAACGCGAGCACCAGCGTCAAGTCCACGACTTGAACTCTGGTGGGCTGGTTCCACCACAAAGAACTTAACCAATCTGACCTACACTCAATTCCCAAAATTTTCCGGCATGTTGAAGTTGCCCCGGAAAGCAGAGTGACAACTTCAATCACTGCAATAGATTTCCAAAGTTGCAACTAAATTATCCTACGTTCTATTTAAAATTATTCGTGATGCTTCTTGTTTTATCTTTGGTAAAGAACATATTCAATCAATATATCGAGATGATATGCTTGCACTATGAATGCACTGTCTCTACAAAACACAATGCACACAGTTGACACGTCCAACACAACCAAAAATTTTCATTTCATGAAAATTTAAAAAAAGACCAATCTTAAATGGTGTAGATCCAAGAAAATTAAAAACTGAACACCAAAAAAATACTCATAACACCCCCACGTCGTCCAATTCGGGCGACACTGGAGGCAACTTGCACCGCCAATTATTGATCCCGCCCTAACCATTCCTTCCCACGCCTCCACCGGTCCATGCCGCCGAGAAAATCCCCAGTAGTAAGCGGTGGGGCTCCTCTCATCACACCTACCCCTGCCACGTCGCCGACATTTCCTTCCCCTGTCGGCTCCTTGGTAGTTGGCGTGCGTTCATCCAGCGCTCCTAGCGTGTAGCCAACAAGTGGTTGGCCGAATCTGGCCTCCCTCATTGTCTAACGGACACTCCTCCCTTTCCATCTCCTCTCCCGTCTTCCTCCATCTACCTTCCCCTAACCCTATACCCTTGTAGATGCCCGTGTTGTTGCTCCTCGGGGACGAAGGAGGACCCCCACTAAGTGGAGTTGTGCACGTGGGCAACGGGGCTATTGTCCACCTTGGCAGCTAGCATCTATGGGAGACCCTCTAAGTGTCGGTAGTTGCCCAAATCTGGGACAACACCCGGGCTTCCGGCTTAGGGGCGGCGGCCACCGTCCACACATTCGTGGGGAAGGGATTTCTATCGCCGTTGAGTTCATTTCAACCCTAGCCCGACGTGGTCGGTGAGGATTAGCAGTGGTCCTGAGCATTTCCAAAGTGGGTTGTGGTCGTGGAGCAACGCCGAGTTGCGCCATCGTGTGGGTTTGCTAGTTCCTTTCGGTGGTCGTGGTCCAGTAGTTGGTCACTACATAACTATTTTGTATTATCCACACAACTTACTTGTGCAATACTCAAGCCCAAATTTGGACCTTATCACTCATGGGAAAAGGAATAATAATCTGAGTTTATGAGAAGACAAAAAGGAAGATAGTCTTGTGTTAACACAATTGATCATTAAGCAATGTAGAGGACTTATAATCGATTTTAGTGTAAGGATGAGGGAATGCCATGCAACGAAATGTTTCAACAAAAAAATTTCATTCACGTGAAAATGGGTTTTTTGTATCGAAGAGCCTTGGTATGCTCATCCACGTAAATTCATACAACTCAACTACAACGATAGGTGAGAATACCACTTTCTCACTCATGCCATTAAAATCTTTCTGGACTAGTTTGACAAATTATAATGGTGTTTGTCGTACATATCAGAAAGAAGATACCGGATTAGAAAACTCTAAAGCTTTCATCTAATTCGTATTTAGTCACGAGCAATCTACCAGTGTGATCTTGTAGCCCAATAGAGAACCAATTTTTTGGCCACCTAAATCCATTTTTATGAGGAGAGAGGAGATTTAGGTAGCTACTCCCTCTGTTCCACAATATAGTGCGTATAGATTTTCAAAAAGTAAAACTTTATAAACTTGATCAAGTTTGTAGAGAAAAACATATGCATCTAGAATACCACAGACATATCATTAGATACATCATAAGCCATATTTTCATATTGTATAAATTTTGTATTGTAGATATAAATAGTTTTCTCTATAAACTTGGTCAAAGTTTGTAAGGTTTGACTTTCAAGAATATCTATATGCACTACATTATGGAACGGCCGGAGTATTTTTTTTGTTCTTTTACAGTATACCTAAAATTGGATACTCAAACTTCAAATTCAAATGAAACATAAAGATCCGACGATGGAGAGGCTGGAGGGTGGATCCGATGACAGAGACGCTGGAATTAGGCGGGATGGTGGGTGAACCTGTTGGGGAACGTAGCAGAAATTCAAAAAATTTGCAAAAACCTTTTGACTATGTTCAGGATAATTAAGTTCATCTTATGAACTCCCACTCAGATAGACATCCCTCTAGTCATCTAAGTGATTACATGATCCGAGTCAAACTAGGCCGTGTCCGATCATCACGTGAGACGGACTAGTCATCATTGGTGAACATCTTCATGTTGATCGTATCTTCTATACGACTCATGTTCGACCTTTCGGTCTTCGTGTTCCGAGGCCATGTCTGTACATGCTAGGCTCGTCAAGTTAACCCTAAGTGTTTTGCGTGTGTAAATCTGTCTTACACCCGTTGTATGTGAACGTTAGAATCTAACACCCGATCATCACGTGGTGCTTCGAAACACGAACTGTCGCAACGGTGCACAGTTAGGGGAGAACACTTCTTGAAATTGTTGTAAGGGATCATCTTATTTACTACCGTCGTTCTAAGCAAATAAGATGTATAAACATGATAAACATCACATGCAATCAAATAGTGACATGATATGGCCATCATCACTTTGCTCCTTTTGATCTCCATCTTCGGGGCTCCATGATCATCATCGTCACCGGCATGACACCATGATCTCCATCATCATGATCTCCATCATCGTGTCTTCATGAAGTTGCCTCGCCAACTATTACTTCTACTACTATGGCTAACGGTTAGCAATAAAGTAAAGTAATTACATGACGTTTAAGTTGACAAGCAGGTCACAAATAAATAAAGACAACTCCTATGGCTCCTGCCGGTTGTCATACTCATCGACATGCAAGTCGTGATTCCTATTACAAGAACATGATCAATCTCATACATCACATATATCATTCATCACATCCTTTTTTTTGGCCATATCACATCACATAGCATACCCTGCAAAAACAAGTTAGACGTCCCCTAATTATTGTTTGCATGTTTTACGTGGCTGCTATGGGTTTCTAGCAAGAACGTTTCTTACCTACGCATGAACCACAACGTGATATGCCAATTGCTATTTACCCTTCATAAGGACCCTTTTCATCGAATCCGATCCGACTAAAGTGGGAGAGACAGACACCCGCCAGCCACCTTATGCAACTAGTGCATGTTTGTCGGTGGAACCGGTCTCACGTAAGCGTACGTGTAAGGTTGGTCCGGGCCGCTTCATCCCACGATGCCGCCGAATCAAGATAAGACTAGTAACGGCAAGCATATTGAACAATATCGACGCCCACAACTACTTTGTGTTCTACTCGTGCAAAGAATCTACGCAATAGACCTAGCTCATGATGCCACTGTTGGGGAACGTAGCAGAAATTCAAAAAATTTCCTACGTAACACCAAGATCTATCTAAGGAGAGACCAGCAACGAGTAGAAAGGGGAGTGCATCTACATACCCTTGTAGATTGCTAAGCGGAAGCGTTCAAGTGAACGGGGTTGATGGAGTCGTACTCATCGTGATTCAGATCACCGATGATCCTAGTGCCGAACGGACGGCACCTCCGCGTTCAACACACGTACAGCTCGACGATGTCTCCCACGCCTTGATCCAGCAAGGAGAGAGGGAGAGGTTGAGGAAGACTCCATCCAGCAGCAGCACAATGGCGTGGTGGTGATGGAGGAGCGTGGCAATCCTGCAGGGCTTCACCAAGCACCTACGGGAGAGGAGGAGGTGTCACGGGAGGGAGGGAGGCGCCAAGGGCTCAGGTATGGATGCCCTCCCTCCCCTCCACTATATATAGGGGCAGGGGAGAGGGGGGAGGCGCAGCCTTGCCCCTTCCTCCAAGAAAGGGGTGCGGCTAAGAGGGGGGGAGGAGTCCATCCTCCCCAAGGCACCTCGGAGGTGCCTTCCCCCTTTAGGACTCTCCCCTTTTTCCTATATCTTGGCGCATGGGCCTCTAGGGGCTGGTGCCCTTGGCCCATGTAGGCCAAGGCGCACCCCCTACAGCCCA